AGATGGGTTATTTTTTCTTTATGTTTCATTTTGGGTATATTCTATTGCTGTGCCTTCAAGTTTACTAATCTTTTCTTTTGCAACATTAATATTTCATTAGTGCCATCTAATGTGTTCCCCCTCCCCAAACATTATAATTTTCATCTCTAGAAGTTATTTTTATGTATTTTTATATCTTCAATGTTGCCACTTAACTTTTGAAACATACAAAATACAGTTACAATAATGGTTTTAATAACCTCTTCTCTTAATTCTAACATATGTGTCAGTTCTGGTCATTTTCATTTAATATTTTTTCTCATCATCATCATCGGTCATATTTTTCTGCTTCTTTGCATTGTAGTAATTTTTGATGGATGACAGATACTATAAATTTTATCTTGTTGGCTATTATATATTTTTATATTCTTAGGATAAGATTTAGCTTTGTTCTGAAATGCAAATAGTTTACATAGAAACTGATTGATCCTTTCTGGATTTGCTTTTAGGATTTGGATTTGTTAGGCAGAGTAAGAGCAATATTTATTCTATAATAAACTTTCTGTGTGTTTTACAAAATGGACCATAAATTATAAAGTTTTTCAGTCTGGCTGGTGGGAAAGAACACTATTACTGGCCCATATGAGTACTGTTATTCCTAATATTTTTAGATGATTCTATTTCCAGACATATTTTCTCCATTCACATGGGTATTCAGTACTCCATTGACTTCCAAGAGTAACCTTTTGCATATTTCCTGAGTTCTTTTTCTGCATAGCTCTCTCTTCTCCAATACTCTGCCCTGCAACTCTAGTCACACTCCCTGGACTCTCACACTCCATCTCCTCAACTCAAGGAACCACTTCAGGCCTCACCTGGGCTTCTGTTTTCTGCACCATAGTCTTGTAACTTTCTCAAGGCAGTAATGTGGGCCAGGAAGCTTAGCATCACTATTATCCATTGCCTATGGTAGACAGTCACTAAGGTAGCAACCTCATTATCTCACCACATGGTTTTCATGCTTTTATATAATCCCTTTCCTCTGAGTATGGTGGGACCTGTGTCTTGTTTTTAACCAATAGAATATAACAAAGATGATGAGGTGTCACTCTTGTGATTGTGTTATATTATAAAAGACTTTGTCTTACTAGCAGACTCTCTCTAGAACTAGCCTGGCGGCTTGCAAAAGTAAGTGGCCATTTTTTAAAAGCCTACATGACAAGAAATGGTGGGAGACATCTGGGAATTGTGGGGAGCCTCTAGGAACTAAGGAGGGCCCTTAGAACTGTATGTAGCCTCTTCTAGGATATGATAGTAACCTCAAGCTAACAGCCAGTGAGAAGACACGGCCTCAGTCTTATAGCCACAAGAAATGAATTGTTCCAACAACCTGAGTGAGTTTACAAGCATATTCATCCTCATTCAAGTCTCCAGATGTGAATGTAGCCTAGCTAACACCTTGATTGCATCCTTGTGAGACCCTAAGCAGAAGATGCCTGGATGGATTCCTGACCAGAAAAAACCTGTAAGATAATAAATGCATGTTATTTTAAGTTGCTAAGATCATGGAGATTTGTCAAGCAGCAATTGATAGCTAATACAGACAAAGTAGTTCAGCTATCAACAATTTTTTTGTTTTCTTTCATTTAAAAACAACTGAGTTTTCCTTGATTTATGAAGGATAGTTTTGACAAACAGAATTATTGGTTGAAAGGTATTTTCTTTAAACATGTGAAAAATACTGGCCTTCTTTCCTCTAACATTTTAGGTGAAAAATCCATTACTGTTGGTTGAATTGATGTTTTCCTGTAGGTAATGCATCATTTCTCTCTGGTTAGATTTAAGATTATTTTTTTGTCTTTAGTTGTCAGAAATTTAATTATGATGTGTCTGGGTGTGGATTTTTTGCATTTATCTTGTTTAGAATTCACTCACTTTCTTGAATCTGTGTTTATGCTATTTTTTCCTCAAACTTGAGAAATGTTCAACCATTACTTCTCTGAATGTTCTTTCAGTACCATACTCTTTCTCTTCTTTTTATGGGGCTCCAATAAATATGCAAATATTGAATGGTTTCTTATTGTCCCACAGTATTCTGAGGTTCTGTTTATTATTTTTCAGGATTTTCTCTATGTTGTCTTAGTTGGGTAAATTCTAATAATCTGTCCTTAAGTTCATTGATTCTATTTTTTAAATCACTACTCAAATATTGAGTAATAAAGTTATTTTTAAAGTTTCACTTATTGTATTTTTCAGTTCTATAATTTTAATTTGGTTCTTTTATAACTTTGCTCTTTTAAGAGTTTCATTTGTTTAAAAGTAATTTATGATTTCTTGTTGAAGCATTTTTATAATGAATGTTGTAAAATCCTAAAATCTTTGTCAGATAGTTCCATTACCCAGTTCACCTCAGTGTTCATTACAGTTGATTTTCTTACACTTTGGCCATTATGATAGGAGATTTTTGGTTTCATTTAAATCTTTTTTTTTTTAAATCAGGCAGTCATCCAGTTATGTTTAGTGCACAAGTCTTGGCCTACTTTTATGGGTTGTGATTTCAATTATATTTTATCTTCAGAACATTTGTGGTGTTATTTTAACTTGTTTGATATACCTGGTGCCACTTGGGCTTCCACTGATCCCTACTGCTACAATCTGAAGGGACAGAGGATAACCTCCAGCTCAAAGGATTATTGTGGAGAGACACCTCTTATTGGTGCAACCCAACAGATCAGTGTCTCTAGATGGAAAAATAGATTCAACCATTAGATTCTGCATCCTTCAGGGATGAGTAGCACACTTTCTGGCTGGGCACTTACAGTGTCCTGATCACTTTTGCTGGTACTAAGCAAGCCATCTGGTTCTCTAAGTAGGAGAAAGAATTATCTGACTAACAGGGACAAAGAGGATTCCCAGACCAGGCTGTTTTTGTTTGTTTGGTATTGCTGTCTGGTGTCTCCAGGTAAGGGAGAAGAATTTCAGGCCCAGTATGGGAAAAAGCACTTCCCCTGGTTATTTATTGCCCCTGAAGTTTCCAATTAATCTCCTTGAGCCAATGTAACCAAGCTCACTTCATGTCTTTGGGACTCCCATACCATCAATGGGAGGAATGAGCCTACCCAAGTTGTCTTTTCTTGTTAGATTGAGGGTCATGAGGTGCATAGCCTGTATCACCTTCTTCTGTCACCTTTATTATTTCTGAATGTGGGGACAAAATACCTGTAGTTCCTCCAAGTCTTGGAGTCCCTAACCAGTTGCTTTCTTTCCATCCTCCAGAGATTCTCTTTCATGATATATAGTTCTATTTCATGGAGAAGAAAAATAAAAAGGAGTCTACATAATCCTGCCTAGTTCTATAGCCTTAGCTTCCATTTTATGATCCCCAAACCTAACATACAATAATTTGAGTTATCTTTCTAAAAGTTTATTCATGTCTCTTTTATGATTAAATCCTTTAATAATTTCACATATATCAAACAGTTATATAAAAATCTCCTGAGGTACTTCATAAAATGCAGATTTAAGGATCTTATGCACACCAACTGAATGAGATTTGTTGAGAAAACACAATTTCAATGTAGTTCTATTACATTAATATTATAAACATCACAGCAGTTATAGCATAAACACAAAATAAGATTGTTAAAATATTAGTTACTCATCACTGGTAAATACTAAAGTACACTAATACTAATGTAAATTATTTAATGTTGACTGAGATGTTTATAGCAATCATGATTCAATTATATGATCAAATTAACTGCATTAATTAGATGTAGAAAAAGTATAATATTTTATTATCTCTGAATGCTCTTTAAAACCACAAAAACCTACTAAAAAATTATCTAGGGTGCTGATTACTGCATTTTATTTAAGGTTGCCTTTATAGTATATATAAATAATATGATCACAAAATATATCCTTTGAGATAATGCAGTCTTGTTGAGGTTTGGTTTTGCCAACTTTACAAATATTATTACAAGGCTTTTGTGTGCTGGGAGTTTTTTGATTACTGCTTCAACTTCCTCAGTAGTTATCAGCCTATTCAGGTTTTCTGACTCTTCTTGATTGCGTTTTGGAAGGCTGTATTTTTCTAGGAATTTGTCCATTTCATACAGGTTGTCCAGTTTGGTGGCATATAGTTGTTCATAGTATTTTCTTACAATCCTTTGTATTTCTGTTGGGTCAGTTGTTACTTCACTTCTTTCATTTCTGATTTTGTTTATTTGGGTCCTTTCTCTTTGTTTCTTGATAAGTCTAGCTAAAAGGTCATCAATCTTGTTTATCTTTTCAAAGAATCAGTTCTTGGTTTCATTGATCTTGGTATTGTTGTGTTGTTGTTTTTTTTAAATCTCTATGTTATTTATTTCCTCTCTGATCTTTACTATTTCCTTCCTTCTACTTACTTTGGGCTTTTCTTGTTGCTATTTTTCTAAGTCTTTAAGCTGTAGGGTTAGATAATTTATTAGAAGAGTTTCTTGTTTTTTGAGGTAGGCTTATCATGCTATGAATATTCCTCTCAGGACTGCTTTCATTATGTCCCATAGATTTTGGGTTGTTGTGTGATCTCTTACCCTTACAGCATGGATTGACCTGAGAGGATTATGCTAAGTGAAATAAGCCAGTCAGAGAAAGACAAGTACCACAGGATCTCACTCAGATGTGGAATCTAATGAACAAAATAAACTGATGAATAAGATAGATACAGAGACATAGAACCATGGAACGGTCCAAAGAATTTCAGAAGGAAGGTTGAAGTGGAGAGTGGGGGGAGAGAGATTAATCAAAGAACTTAGATGCATATATACATGACCTATGAACACAGATAATAATGTGAAGACCTGGATGGGTTGGGGTGGATGTCTGGTGGAGGGGTTCAATGGGGGGGNGGGGGGGGAAGAGAGACATCTGTAGTACTTTCCACAATAAAGAAAAAAATATCATTACATTTTTTTCAATGACATTCCTACTAAAAACACAGGGGAAAACCCATTTGTTGCTTTTAATGAAAGATTACTTACTGCTCTTTTTCTAGAACACCCTGTAATCCAAGGCACAGTAAGGTTTCCTGAAATCTGTGGAAACAACAAATGGAATCTCAGTAAGGTACTACTACTTGGAAAGCTGATAAACACCAAAAAGTTCATATAAGACTTCAAGATAGGCTTTCATTCAGTGCATATTCCCCACCTAGACAATCCTGTTTCCTGACTGAACACAATAGATTGAGAAGGCCTTCTCTGGTGGAGAAATTTTAGAAGTGGTGCAAACTTCCCCTGGAGATTCAATAAAAATTCTAGGACATTTTTAGGGCCTGGAAGTATGGTTTAGAATCTATGAACAATAAAATTCTTACAATAAAAATGCAGTGCTCTGTGGGATGAGTTACAATAATTAAATTATTAACTGTAGCCTTTATGCTGCATTTTAGTTCTCACAATTTATTCAGCCCTAGCCAGTTTGGCTCAGTGGTTTGAGTGTCAGCCTGAAGACTGAAGGGTCTTGGGTTCAATTCCCGGTCAAGGGCATGTACTTAGGTTGCAGGCTAGATCCCCAGCCCCAGTCCAGGCACGTGGGGGAGGCAACCAATCTATGTGTCTCTCTCACATGAATGTTTCTCTCTTCATATCTCCCACACATGAATGTTTCTCTCTTCATATCTCCCCTTCCCTTCCACTCTCTCTAAAAAACATCAATGGAAAAAATATCCTTGGGTGAGGATTAACAACAGTAACAAAAAAAGATTTATTCATCCTCCATAACTGTGAATTTATTTTTAAGCAGAAACTACTAAAGCAAATAGCCAGCAGCAGTTTACTACATCAGCATTGCCACACAAGGAGGTAGATACTACTCCAGTTGGATTTGGGGGAGTGTTCATAAAGATCAAGGTGGTTCCATGAGCTGGAGCACAGGTTAGCCTGTGCTTTGCCATACTTTGTTCTGGGACACAAGGATTTGGAGTATTCCAAACTTTCACTTGTTTCTCCTTCTTTCCTAAACCCGTACTTCCTGAGAGACTGATAAGGCAAATCAATCTTGCTAAGTGGTGATATTGAGAATGTGGTATTCAATCAAGCATTTATTTTATTTGATAAATTATATTCAGTCATGGCTTATGAATTACTATTATGCCTACTAATAAGAAGTGATGATCAGTCAATGTAAATAGTAAAGTAATATCGTCAATTACTACCACCCCTAGCCACTACACTTGCCATTTTACTTTGAGTTCAAAATACACCAATATGCTAAGGATAGGCTAAACTGTTATAAACACCAAATAATACTTTTACGAACAAATTTAAAAATAAATTTACTCAAGTTAAAATCTCACTATAGTAAAATGTCAATTAACTAGAATGCCCGAGGGTCATGAAGTTTGAATAATTTACTTTTTAAATGGTGAATGGAGAGTGATAACATTTCTATGGGAACAGTTTCCTTAAAAATATATAGTGTCTTGATTTCCCACCAATAATTGATATATGATATAAAATTTATAAAGTAAATTGATTGCTAGTCTCAATGAAGGAGGTAAATCTGCTAAAATAATCACATAATATACTCTTGAAAAAATAGAGATATCCAACCATTTTGGGATATCTCTTCACATACTTCCATCTATTAGGATAATTTTAAAACTGGCTATATAAAGTTGTTAGAGAAAATATGTTAAACCGAATGAATTGCAAAAGACCCAATAACTACTGAAAACTTACATATAAAATAATAATACATATAATAAACATGGCTAATTGAATTTCTTTAAACATAGACATTTTACATTTTAAGAAAATAAAATGTGGTTTCCTGCTTAAGCCAATTATATCTAATAAAGAAAATGGAAAACTTCTATGAGCATATTAATATACCAATATTATAAATTCCATGAGATTTGGGAAGAGATAAAATTTCACTTTTTTGTTTTATAATCCTGAGGCACCAGTTACTTGATAATCAAATGCTATATTCAATTATCCTCTGGTGTTTGCTTCAAATCCATTCTTCATTTCCTTATGTTTTTGGTAAAACTCAGAATACCCAAGCATAGTAGTTGAATTTGTAAACTTTTCTGAATCATAGTACTGTATAAATAAGTTTCCCACCAATTTGGGAAATTTTGTTTGGTGCAATAGTGATGACAAATTTTCCCCCTCACCAAAAACTATAAAATACAGTATTTTCAATGGCAAGGTAATATACTTCTTGTTTAAATAATATTTAAATTCCTAATACATTTTTCAACACACTGCTTTGGAAAACTACAAAATTAATCTACAAGGAGCCAAGATGCATTTAACAAATACGTTATAACTTACACATCAAATGAGTACTGTATGTTCCAATGTAGAAAACTTAGCAAATTACAGTCATTACAATGGCATTGTCATTGTTGAAAGCATTTTGGGAACTTTTCTTTTGGAGTTGTTTGTTTATGATTCACCCAGAGATTCTGTCTCATTACTTCAGATTTCTTTTTCAATAACTGAAAATATAATAGCTCAGGTTGAACATCCATATTATTCATTAAAGGTGAGTAAGAATAAATTCTACTTTCCAAAATCAAATTTTCCCTCAAATAACGAAGACTTGTTACCACTGAAAACTTTAAAAGTAATCCTACAGGCACTTAAAACAATTGTAAAGGGCTTCAAATCTTTTTGACAAATTGAACATTATTGAAATAAGTGTAGATATCTTTCTAAGGTAACTTATTTTAATTCTAATTCTATTCAAATATTTGTTAGCCATTTCTTCTATAGTAAGTGCTGTTTTAGGTGCTACAGAAAATTTAAAAAAGACATGCAAAACATAATTTCCTGGAGGGCAAGACCTACAATCTGAGAGGGAAAGATAAAACAAGTACATGAATGACTTTAATACAAAGAAAGCTATGATAAGTGACTTAAGGGAGGTACAATAAATGAAGTGCTATAGACGGTCAAGGTATGGCAAAATTGCATGAACTTGAGGATTGATATCTCAGCCAAACCTTAAAATATGAGTAAAATTTTGATAGGTAGAAATAAAAAGAGCATTCTTGGGAAAAAGTGTGGCATGAGCACAGTGGAGTAAAAAGATAAAGTATCTTTGGGAATCGCCAGTTCAACTAGAACTAGAAATGCAATTAGGGTCACTTTGCGGAGGCTATGAATACCAAGGTACTTTTATATCTAATTCTATAGAAATTGGGGAGCCATTGAAGGTTTTTAAACAAATGGGTTGTATGGTCAGAATTGTATTTTTATACATTTGGATGATTAATTTGACTAAATGTGTAGAGTGAGTTGAATAAATATAGAAACTTTAATAATAGTTTAGTCAAGGGGTAAGTGATCTAGGCTTGGAACTAAGGTAGGGGAGGTAGAAATGGAGAAGAGAAATATAAAAGTTATTTCTAAGGAAAAATCTTGTGCATGACATAGAAGAAAACTAGGCAGTCTGGAGATTCCTGGAATAGTCTTTTTATGGCCATCATAAATCTGAATATAAATGCAAGGAAGTGCTTAATGATGGAAATCTGCTTCTCTTGGCTAAGAGTAGATACATGTATGTGGTTGTAAACTGGAATCACGTTATGTAGACAGCTAAGGTTTGTGAATCCAACTGTTATACTCTTATCTTTCTCATGAAAAATTAAACATAATAGATACCATAGATACTATATATCAGTCTATATTATACATTATCTATTCACATTATTGTATATGGTTATATATTAATTGGGAGACATCTAGATGCTTTGATGGATGATTTAAGAAGTTTTAAAGGAAACTGTACTATATTTCATTTTTTACAAGTTAAACCCTAAATATAATTCTGCTGTAATATTCCTGCTAGGTTATGAGCTTATTAAGGACAAGGTATCATGTTTAAAACAATTTAGTCTAACTATTTTTATATAGACACAGGGGATATACACAAAAAATACATTTATTTGATCTCAAAAATGTTTTTGTTATAAAGACAATTCTAAACATATGCAGGATATTCTACTTGAAATATTTAAGAGTGGTTTAGGGGTTTGGCAAAGTTCTTTTTTTTTTTTTAAATATATCTTTATTGATTTCAGAGAGAGGAAAGGAGACAGAGAGATAGATAGAAACATCAATGATGAGAGTCATTGATTGGTTGCAGCCGCAATCCTGGCATGTGCCCTGACCTGGAATCGAACCCCGATCTCCTGGATCCTAGGCTGACGCTCAACCGCTGAGCCATGCCCGGCCGGGGTTGGTAAAGTTCTTATGTGAAGTATATTTTATGTGAGTCAGGAAAAGAAAATATATTATTAATTAGCATGTCATTAAGTGGAATTTGATTAATTGAAACAATCAAACAATAACTATGTCTTTTAGCAAAGTTCAGCAGTAAGAGATTCATAAATCAATGTTTTAGCTTTCCATCAGTTGTTTTGGTATCAGTTGAGTATTAAAACTTATCAATCATTCTGTTTTAACAAGCAGTGTTTCTTAGATTTTTTCAGTTATGAGGTAAAGTGCAAAGAGGACATTGCTGGGCTTGTGGGAGGCAATCAATAAACAGATCATTGATTGTTTGAATTCACTTAGGCCTACATTATTCACTAGCTTCACTAGCTGAAATTTAACAAAAGGCCAAGAGTGGAAATATATACAAGAAACCATTACATGGAGTAGACAGTAGGAGGAGAGGAATAAGGTGCTTCAAGTTGAAAATAATGTGTTCAGGAGCAAAAGAGAAAATATGTAGTATCTTATTTTAAAATATGTCCCCTTCTCTCTACCAAGCCTGGAAAAGCTTTCAGAAGTTAAATAAACCTTACAAATGGAAAGTTCAGTACTACAACTTTTGGCCAAGCAGCTAACAATTTTTCAAAGCACATGAATTTTTCTTCTGTTAAGTAATATGAAGCTAGGATTCAAAGAAACACACCCAGCCCCAGCAGGGGGAACCACAAGCTGTGGAGTGCTGAAAACTTCAAACAGAGTACTCAAGGCCAGTCACAAACAGCATCCAGCATTGGCCTGCAACAGAGACCATCCAAAAGACTGGGTGTCCTAGCAGATCTACCTAATACATAAAAACAAATCCA